GGCGCGCGGCGCTGCCGGGGCTGCTGAGCGGCCCGCGGGCCCCGAGCCCGAGCCTGCTCGCACGCCCCAGCTCGGGTGAGTGGCCCGCGACCGGCGGAGGAGGGAGGCGGGCGGGGGGGCGTAGCCCGGCCTTTGTTGGCGCGCGTGCGACCCGTGGCTGCCTGACTCTGTAGATGGCCTCGGGTTCTCGCCGGGCGGGCCGGGGGCGCCCTGCACGTCTTTCCCCACCTCTCACTGCCCCCCACTCCGATCCGCCCACCGCCCCAGGTTGCTCGGGGGCAGGGGGCCCCTGAGGGCTCCAGAGCAGGAGGCCTGGTGGCCACAGTAGGCAGTGGTGAGGGTCCCAGCGGACTGGGGCTTCTGGGGGTGGGGGGAACATTTGGAGCAGGTGAACACTCCCCACGGGGCCGGCGCCCTCGGGGTGCTTTCTCCAGGCCCTAACTCCGTTTGCGGTCCTAGGGCCGGTGTCTGTAGCCGGTTCTCGCCCTAACTGCGGCCCACAGGGCGCTCCCTGAGAGCCAGATGTTTTGGTGTTCCCAGCGCAGGAGGGAGTGAACTGCTATCTTCTGAGGGACAGGCCAGCTGGCAGCAGGCCAGGCTGCACGGAGATTCCCCTAGGCACTGGGCTTTAGGGGCACAAACCAGCCTCCGGGGGCTTCCTGCGCTGGGCTTTGTTCAGCCTTGAAGTGAAGTGGTGGGCGCCCACAGCCTGCTGTCCAGGTCCCGCGCACCTTATGGGGTTGGGAAAGGGCAGCTGCAGACACCCCCGGGGACAGTGGCCTGCCCGGGCTCATCATTTGTCTTCCGGTTCTGCTCTCCACCTGAGCAGGACTTGGCAGGACATCCAGAGTGTAGGCGCCTCTCAAAAGCACGTTTGGCCCTGGACCCAGGGCTAAGGGTTGGTGTAACTCTGTGGCCTGGGGCTGTAAGGGGTGATGGTACCTCCTGTCTTGCTGGCAGTGTCCCCTAGAGGACAGACGGACTGGGCCAGGGCTCAGTCCCGTACTTGGGTCTGGAAGCCGCTTGCCTTGAAACCCTCCAGCAGCACAGAGCTCATCTGGTCAAGGAGGTTTTAAGTGGAGGAGCCCTCTAGAGTCTCCCCACCTGCAGACAGGTGCCCCTCTACCCTGCTTCTCAGTCCTTAGCTCCTTTGTGTCCTGCTGTGTGTGGCCCACCTGGTGGGGAGAGTGGACCCCACTACTCCCTGGCTCCCTGCCGTTCCTTCACCTCAGACCCACAAGATGAGCTTTGGGTCCTCCCTCATGGGGCAGGCTGGGAGTTCAGATGGCGAGGACAGAAGTGGAAAGCAAGGCCAACAACATGCTCTCTTTCCAGTGTGGCCTCTTTGGGCCTCTGTGTGGCCACTGAGCCCAGCTGTGCCTCCCCAGCTCTTGAAGATGCCTTCTCAGGGACACTGGATCCATCATGGGAGGAGCCATGGCCCCTCCTGACAGACTGGATGCACCAGGGGGCCCACTACCCTGTTGGTCCCTGAAAGGCAGAGTCATGCTGGGCCTTTGTTGGCTGTGGACCCTGCACTTCTCCCCTCCACGGCTGCTCTGGTGACCCCTGGGCTGTGGCAGGGGCATCCAGGTTCAGGGAGATGTGAAGGGCGAGGCACCTGATTCCCCTTCTTCTAAAGGAGGGTCCTCCTGGACCCGGGAGCGGACCCTGGTTGCAGTGAAGCCAGATGGGGTGCAGCGGCGGCTTGTTGGGGATGTGATCCAGCGCTTTGAGAGGAGGGGCTTCAAGCTGGTGGGGATGAAGATGCTGCAGGTACCTGGGCTCTCGACCTGTGGGTGTCCTTGAGGGGACTGGGGGTGGGGGGCTTCTCATGGACCTCAGCCCTTCATTTCTCAGCCCTGTATCAGGAGGAGTATCCTGGTATTGGCAGTAGAAGGAGGGGTGGGGAGGTATCTGCTGGTGTGCCAGCCCATGTAGGTGTTACTTGCCAAGTGCCCTGAGGTCAGGACACCATGATCACTGCCCCAGTGCCCAGCGGCTCCAGGGGCTCCTCTCACCCCTTGCCCCAATGCCACCCAGGCGCCAGAGAGAGTCCTTGCTGAGCACTACCATGACCTGCAGAGGAAGCCCTTCTATCCAGCCCTCATCAGCTACATGACCTCCGGCCCCGTGGTGGCCATGGTATGGCAGGCAGGGGCTGTGGAAAGGGTGGAGGGCCCTGGGCTGAGCCCAGAGCTGCTGAGTCCTTGGTGATCCCCACCTCTCCCATCCTCTTTTATCTCTGTGCTGCAGGTCTGGGAAGGCCCCAACGTGGTCTGCTCCTCAAGGGCCATGGTAGGACACACCAACTCAGCTGAGGCTGCCCCTGGCACCATCAGGGGGGACTTCAGCGTCCACATCAGCAGGTCTGGGGGCCCTGACACACTCAAGCCACTGGAGCTGATGGGCCAGCTCATTAGGGTTGAGGAGGGCCTGAGTGTGGGGTGGTAGTCTGCTCCTAAGGCAGATCCACAGGACCTGGGCATCTTGCTGGGCCACAGTAAAGCCACAAGAGATTGTCCATGCTGGGATGTCACACACAGGAGGTGATAAAGCATTCTCTAATCATTGTGTGTGTACTCTGCCATCATTTCCTATTACCTGACTCTGTCTTGCCAGACACCCTGAGGGGTTGGCACGGGACAACTGGTGGGAACATGAGGCTCCCAGAAACGGTCTGGGCAGGTCATGAGGTTGTGGGTAAAAGGCCAAGATCAGGCTGGAACCAGTCTTCCAGTCCTGTTCTTGCTTTCTCCTCTGCCCAATGCCGGGCTTGCTCTTCTTGATGGTGGGGGATTAGCAGATAGCTCCCGGGACCCCCAAGGTGCACACTGAAGTCTGTGCCTTACCTTTGCTGCCTATCATTTGGCACAGGAACATCATCCATGCCAGCGACTCCGTGGAGGGGGCCCAGAGGGAGATCCAGCTATGGTTTCAGAGCAGTGAGCTGGTGGACTGGGCAGACGAAGGCCACCAGAGAAGCATCTACCCACCCTGAGCACTCAGGCTGCCTTCAGCTACCCCAGCAGCCACCCAGGATCAACTACCTCTGTCGTCCAGAACTTGAGCCCACACCCATGTCCTCCCTTCTGTCCCAGACCACCTCCCTGTCTACCTTCTGCCCCACCCCAGCCCAGAGGGGTTGAGCAACCAACTTTATGTGCCTTTTAGTATCCTAAGCCAATAAGAAATCGGACCAAATCCTTTCTGTACCAAAGTGCCAGATAACCTTTGGGGCATCTCCAAAAGTGTGTAGTGTAACCTCCCTTCCCCCAAAGGGGGGTGGGACATTAAAATTCGCTGTGTTGTGTAGGGGGGTGGATCGTTAATTATAGTTTCTGCCATCTCTGAGGTAGGACTTTATGCAAAGTTGTAAGAGTTTGAGAGTACAAATAAAGCTTACTCTCACACACCAGTAGGGGATCAATAACTTTGTTGAATGTATCAGACAGGCAGAGGTCCAACGACCTACAGCCCAAAATGTGGGAGAATCCAAGCTGAGTCCTGGAGCTGGTGCTGCTTTAGCCCCCATTCATCTGATCATGCTGCATGAGGAGCTGCCTGCCTTGGGCAGGACTTGAGAATGGCAAAAGGGGGTGATTATGGGGTCCGCTAAAACCACCGCCAAGGCAGAGGGCCTTTCATGGCTTCATATGGTGGAGACTGACAGGAGCTGCCTGTGTCCACTTGTTTTCATGTTGTCACTACACACATCACACCTCACCCCAGTCCTCGGGTGTGTCCCTGGTCCCTTGTCATGGGTACTGGACATTGCATATCATTACACCTGCTGCAGCCGCCTTGGTCCTCACTTACTCTACTTTTTGACATCTTTAAGATTATTTATTTATTCATTTGACAGAGATAATGAGAGCAGGAACACAAGCAGGGGGAGTGGGAGAGGGAGAAGCAAGCTGCCCGCCAAGCAGGGAGCCCAATGTGGGGCTCGATCCCAGGACGCTGGGATCATGACCTGAGCCGAAGGCAGACGCTTGATGACTGAGCCACCCAGGCACCCCCTTTTTGACATCTTTATAAACGATGCCCTGATCCTGGATTCATAGCACTTGTTGCTGCCTGTGCCTCCACGTGACGACACCAATGAAATGCCCTGACTTTCTTAATCGGTCATGAAACAGGTCATTTTAGGAACTGGCACTGGGGTTGGCCGCGTGAGGGGAAGACTTTCCTTAGGGACCCACCCGCCCCACGCGCCTGCGCGCACCGCGACCGAACTCCAGTCCCAGCACGCGGCGCGGTAGCGGTGAACAGAAAATCCTAGGAGGAGCTAGGGCCGCTATGGGCGTGGCTAGCAGGCGGTGGGCCGCCCTGGGAGGAGCGTCACTGGAGGAACAGGAGGGGGCTGTGGGCGGGGCGTCCAGGGAAGACCCAGAGGCAGCTGTGGGCGAGGTTCGTGGGGCGGTCGAGTGCCGTGGGCGGGGCGTCCTGGGAGGAACCAAGAGGAAATTGTGGGCGGGGCTAGCGGGGCGTCCTGGGCGGAACAGGAGACCGCTGTGGGCGGGGTTGGTGGGCCAGTCGGGCGTCGTGGGCAGGGCGTTCTGGGAGGAACAGGAGACTGTTGTGGGCGGGGCTAGCGGGGGTGCCCTGGGAGGAATTGGAGGCGGCTGTGGGCGGGGTTCGTGGGGCGGTCGGGCGTCGTGGGCGGGGCATCGTGGGCGGAAGAGGAGGTAGCTGTAGGCGGGGCTAGCGGGATGCCCTGGGAGGAACTGGAGGCGGGTGTGGGCGGGGTTCGTGGCGCGGTCGGGTGCCGTGGGCGGGGCGTTCTGGGAGGAACAGGAGACAGCTGTGGGCGGGGCTGGCGGGGAGGTCGGACGCCATGGGCGGGGCGTCCTGGGCGGAAGAGGAGGCAGCTGTGGGAGGGGCTAGCGGGGCGTCCTGGGAGGAACCAGGAGACCGCTGTGGGCGGGGCTAGCGGGGTGGTCGGACGCCGGGGGCGGGGCGTCCTGGGCGGAAGAGGAGGTGACTGTGGGCGGGGCTAGCGGGGCGGTCGGACGCCGGGAGGGGCCGACTGGATCTCGGTCCCCCGCCCCCGGATGTAGGGCGTTGACGGCCAGAGAGCGCTGCGGGTCTCAGAGGGTCCCGCTGCTGCCGGATCCGGGCAGGTCCCTGCAGCTCTCGCCGCCCCCGGCCCTCACCGACCGCCATGGCCCAGCCGCCGCCCGATGTCAGTGAGGACGAGTGTCTCCCTGAGTACCGCCATCTCTTCTGCCCCGACCTGCTCCGGTGAGGGCCGAGTTGGGGGCTCCCGGGGCGGGGGGGTGCTGCCCCTGCAGAAGTGGCTCGGGAACTGCGGTTTTACTGGGATGTGTGCTCACCCCGTGCCTGGCGGCCGCACCGTCAAGATGCCTAGATAGCCCTGGGGACGCAAGCGCTCTGGTATTTTAACCTTTGCACTGTTGGGAGCACGTTTTGTCTTGGTCAGTGGGGGCGGGTGTTCCCAGGGGTAGTCCTGGGAGGGTGGGAGTGAGGGGCAGGTGGAGGAAGGCTTGAATGTCTTGAGAACCTTTCTCACCTAATTGATAACCTCATTATTATTTCCAAGTAGGCTCCATGAACAACGTGGGGGTTGAACTCATGACCCTGAGATCCAAAGTCTCAGGGTCTATTGACTTTGCCACTCAGGCACCCCTTAACAGATAACTTTCTGAATAGAGCTTTTTAGGTTGAAATAATTTTCCATGAAGACCCAGAAAGCCTAGGAATGCAGGCTTTAAAACGCAGCGTTTCATTTTCTTACAAAAGTCATCTTGTTTCTTGTCAACAATTCAAATCTGATAGAAGTGCCCAGTGAACAGGGTCAAAGTCTTCAGAGAACCACTGGCTTCCCCCCACCCCTAAGTCAACAGGGATCTCCTTTTTTTTTAATTTCAAGACTTTTATTCTGACTGTTCCTTTTTATTTTTAAATATTTTTAATTTATCTTTAAATTTAAATCCAATTAACATATAGTGTATTAATAGTTTCAGAGGTAGAGGTCACTGAGTCATCAGTTCATACTAACACGCAGTGCTCCTTACATCACGTGCCCCCCCAATGCCTGCCACCCAGTTACCCCATCCCTCCACTCCCCTCCCCTCCAGCAACCCTCAGTTTGTTTCGGAGAGTTAAGAGTCTCTCATGGGTTGTCTCCCTCTCTGATTTTGTCTTGTTTTATTTTTCCTTCCCTTCCCCTATGATCTTCTGTTTTGTGTTTAAATTCCACATATCAGTGAGATCATATGGTAATTGTCTTTCTCTGATTGGCTTATTATGCTTAGCATAATGCCCTCTAGTTCCATCCATGTCATTGCAAATGGTAAGATTTCTTTTTTTTTACATTATTAAATATATATATATTTTAAGATTTATTTTTTTTAAAGATTTTATTTATTTGACAGAGGGAGACACAGCAAGAGAGGGAACACAAGCAGGGGGAGTGGGAGAGGGAGAAGCAGGCTTCCCGAGGAGCAGGGAGCCCGATGAGGGGCTCGATCCCAGGACCCTGGGATCATGACCAGAGCCGAAGGCAGACACTTAACGACTGAGCCACCCAAGCACCCCAAGATTTATTTATTTTAGAGAGAGAAAGAGAGAGCATGAACACGCGTGCTTGTGTGCATATATGAGCAGGGGTAGGGCAGGCAGAAGGAGAGGGAGAGAATCTCAAGCAGACTCCCTGCTGACAAACCTGAGATCATGACCTGAGCCAAAATCAAGAGTCAGATGCTTAACTGACTGAGCCACCCAGGCACCCCATATATTTAAAACCAGTATGGAAATCTTTGTTTTTTAATGGAATATGTGCCATTTATATTTATGGTAATTAATGATATAAGGGTTTCATCTTTTTGATGGCTGCATAATATTCCATTGTATATGTACACCTCCATTGATGAACATCTGGGCTCTTTCCATAGTTTGGCTATTGTGGACTTTGCTGCTATGAACACTGGGGTGCATGTGCACCTTTGGATCACTACATTTTTTTTTTTAAGATTTTATTTATTTGACAGAGACACAGTGAGAGAGGGAATACAAGCAGGGGGAGTGGGAGGGGGAGAAGCAGGCTTCCTGTGGAGCAGGGAGTTCCGTGTGGGGCTCAATCCCAGGACACTGGGATCATGACCCCAGCTGAAGGCAGATGCTTAATGACTGAGCCACCCAGGCACCCCAATCACTACATTTCTATCTTTGGGGTAAATACCTAGTAGTGCAATTGCTGGGTCGTAAGAGAGCTCTATTTTCAACTTTTTGAGGAACCTCCTTACTGTTTTCCAGCTGCACTGGCTTACATTCCCACCAACAGTGTAGGAGGGTTCCCCTTTCTCTGCATCCTCGCCAACATCTGTCGTTTCCTGATTTGCTAATTTTAGCCATTCTGATCCGTGTGAGGTAGTGTCTCATCATGGTTTTGATTTGTATTTCCCTGATGCTGAGTGATGTGGAGCATTTATTCATGTGTCTGTTGGCCATTTGTATGTCTTCTTTGCAGAAATGTCTGTTCATGTTTTCTGCCCATTTCTTGATTGGATTATTTGTTCTTTGGGTTAGTTTTTTTGTTTTTTTTTAGATTTTTAAATTTTCCAGAGAGAGAGAGAGAGAACACAAACAGGGGGAGCAGCAGGCAGAGGGGGAAGCAGGATCCCCACCGAGCAAGAAGCCCGATCGATGTGGGCCTCTGGAATCATGACCTGAGCCAAAGGCAGGTGCTTAACCCACTGAGCCACCAGGGGTCCCTAGTTCTTTTTTTTTTTTTATTTGTGTGTGTGTGTGTGTGTGTGTGAGAGAGAGAGAGAGAGAGAGAGAGTGAGAGCACGCGTGAACACACAAGCAGGGGGAGCGGCAGGCAAAGGGAGAAGCAGGCTCCCCACTGAGCAAGGAGCCTGTTGCGGGACTCAATCCCAGGACTCTGGGTTCATGACCTTAGCCAAAGGCAGATGCTTAACCAACTGAGCCACCCAGATGCCCCTGATAAGTTCTTTATAGATTTTGGATACTAGCCCTTTATCTGATATGTCATTTGCAAATATCTTCTCCCATTCTGTCGGTTGTCTTTTGGTTTTGTTGACTGTTTTCCTTTGCTGTGCAGAAGCTTTTTATCTTGATGAAGTCCCAATAGTTCATTTTTGCCCTTGCTTTCCTTGCCTTTGGCGATGTTTCTAGGAAGAAGTTGCTGCGGCTGAGGTCAAAGAGGTTGCTGCCTGTGTTTACCTCTAGGATTTTGATGGACTCACGTCTCACATTTAGGTCTTTCAACCATTTTGAGTCTATTTTTGTGTATGGTGTAAGGAAATGGTCCAGTTTCATTCTTCTGCATGTGAGGCTGTCCAGTTTTCCCAACACAATTTGTTGAAGAGACTGTCTTTTTTCCATTGGACATTCTTTCCTGCTTTGTCGAAGATTAGTTGACCATAGAGTTGAGGGTCCATTTCTGGGCTCTCTATTCTGTTCCATTGATCTATGTGTCTGTTTTTGTGCCAGTACCGTGCTGTCTTGATGATTACAGCTCTTTAATAGAGCTTGAAGCCAGGCATTCTGAGGCCCCGAGCTTTGGTTTTCTTTTTCAACAATCCCCTGGTGATTCAGGGTCTTTTCTGGTTCCATACAAATTTTAGGATTATTTGTTTCAGTTCTGTGAAAAAAGTTGATGGTATTTTGATAGGGATTGCATTGAATGTGTAGATTGCTTTAGGTAGCATAGACATTTTCACAATATTTATTCTTCCAATCCATGAGCATGGAACATTTCTCATTTCTTTCTTTATTTTTTATTTTTTTTAAAGATTTTATTTATTTTTTGACAGAAAGAGAGACAGTGAGAGGGGGAACATAAGCAGGGGGAGTGGGAGAGGGAGAGGCAGGCTTTCCGCTGAGCAGGGAGCCTGATGTGGGGCTTGATCCCAGGACCCTGGAATCATGACCTGTGCCGAAGGCAGATGCTTACCGACTGAGCCACCCAGGCGCCCCCATTTCTTTCTTTTTTAAAAAAGATTTTATTTTTTGAGAGAGAGAGCATGAGCAGGGGCAGGGGTAGAGGGAGAGGAAGAAACAGACTCCTCGCTGAGCAGGGAGCCTGATGCGGAACTCAATCCCACGACCCTGGGATCGTGACCTGGGCCAAAGGCAGATGCTTAACCGACTCAGCCACCCAGGTACCCACGTTTTTCCATTTCTTTGTGTCTTCCTCTATTTCTTTCATGAGTGTTGTATAGTTTTCTTTTTCTTTTCTTTTTTTTTTCTTTTAAGATTTTATTGATTGGAATGCCTGAATGGCTCAGTCGGTTAAGCATTTGCTTTCAGCTCAGGTCATGATCCCAGGGTCCTGAGATTGAGCCCCATGTGGGGCTCTCTGCTCAGTGGGGGGTCTGCTCCTCCTCCACCTGGTGCTCCCCCTGCTTGTGCTCTCTCTCTCTGTCAAATAAATAAATAAAATCCTTTAAAAAAATAAAGATTTTATTTATTTGAGAGAGAGGGAGCACAGAGGGAGTGGGAGAGGGAGAAGCAGACTCCCAGCTGAGTAGAGAGAGCCTGATGTGGGGCTTGATCCCAGTACCTTGAGATCATGACCTGAGCTGAAGGCAGACACCCCAGGTGCCCCTCTATAGTTTTCTGAGTACAGATCCTTTACCTCTTTGATTAGGTTTATTCCTAGGTATCTTCCGGTTTTTGGTGCAGTTGTAAATGTGATGGATTCCTTAATTTCTCTTTCTTCAGTCACATTGTTAGAGTATAGAAATGCAACTGATTTCTGTGCATTGATTTTATATCCTGCCACTTTGCTGAATTCCTTTATGAGTTCTAGCAAGTTTGGGGTGGAACCTTTTGGGTTTTCTACATAGGGTATCATGTCATCTGCAAACGGTGAGAATTTGACTTCTTTGTGAATTCAGATGCATTTTATTTCTTTTTGTTGTCTGATTGCTGAGGCTAGTATTTCTAGTATTATGTTGGAATTTTTTAAAATTTTTTAATTGTTATGTTAATCACCATACATTACATCATTAGTTTTGGATGTAGTGTTCCATGATTCATTGTTTGTGCATAACACCCAGTGCTCCATGCAGAACGTGCCCTCTTTAATACCCATCACCAGGCTAACCCATCCCCCCACCCGCCTCCCCTCTAGAACCCTCAGTTTGTTTTTCAGAGTCCATCATCTCTCATGGTTGGTCTCCCCATCCGATTTCCCCCCCTTCATTTTTCCCCTCCTGCTATCTCTTCTTCTGTAGTATTATGTTGAACAGCAGTGGTGATAGTGGGCATCCCTGTCGTGTTCCTAACTGTAGGGAAAAAGCTCTCAGTTTTTCCCCATTGAGGTTGATATTCACTGGGGGCTTTTTGTATATGGCTTTTATGATATTGAGGTATGTTCCTTCTATCCCTACACTGTGAAGAGTTTTAATCAAGAAAATTTGCTGTACTTTGTCAAATGCTTTTTCTGCATCTATTGAGAGGATCATATGGTTCCTGTTCCTCCTTTTATTAAGGTAGTGTATCACATTGATTGATTTGTGGATGTTGAACCACCCTTGCAGCCCAGGAATAAATCCCACTTGATAGTGGTGAATAATCCTTTTAATGTACTGTTCAATCCCACTGGCTAGTATCTTGGTGAGAATTTTTGCATCCATGTTCATCAGGGATATTGGTTTGTAATTCTCCTTTTTGGTGGGGTCTTTGTCTGGTTTTGGGATCAAGGTAATGCTGGCCTCATAGAAAGAGTTTGGAAGTTTCCTTCTGTTTCTTTTTGTTTTTTTTTTTTAAGATTTCATTTATTTTTTGACAGAGAGAGACACAGCGAGAGAGGGAACACAAGCAGGGGGAGTGGGAGAGGGAGAAGCAGGCCTCCCGCTGAGCAGGGAGCCCAATGTGGGGCTCGACCCCAGGACCCTGGGATCATGACCTGAGCCGAAGGCAGACGCTTAACCATCTGAGCCACCCAGGCACCCCCTCTGTTTCTATTTTTTGGAACAGTTTCAGAAGAATAGGTATTAATTCTTTAAATGTTTGGTAGAATTCCCCTGGGAAGCCATCTGGCCCTGGGCTCTTGTTTGTTGGGAAATTTTTGATTACTGCTTCAATTTCCTTGCTGGTTATGGGTCTGTTCAGGTTTTCTATTTCTTCCTGGTTCAGTTTTGGTAGCTTATACATCTCTAGGAATGCATCCATTTCTTCCAGATTGTCTAATTTGTTGGCATATAGTTGCTCATAATGTTGTATTTCTTTGGTGTTGGTTGTGATCTCTCCTTTTTCATTCATGATTTTATTTATTTGATCCTTTCTCTTTTCTTTTTGATAAGTCTGGCCAGGGGTATATCAATCTTATTAATTCTTTCAAGAACCGGCTCCCAGTTCATTGATCTGTTTTACTGTTCTTTGGGTTTCTAGTTCATTGATTTCTGCTCTGATCTTTATTATTTCTCTTCTCCTGCTGGGTTTAGGCTTTATTTGCTATTCTTTCTCCAGCTTCTTTAGGTGTAAGGTTAGGTTGCATATTTGAGACCTTTCTTGTTTCCTGAGAAAGGCTTGTTTTTGAAGATTTTATTTATTTATTTATTTATTTATTTATTTATTTATTTATTTATTTATTTATTT